GTTTTTGCGGGGGGAGGGGGTTGGATATCCAATTGTTTATGATGCATTTGGAAAGAGAATGATGTGCTTTGAGGTGATTCATTTGTGGGCTGGAAAATGAATGAGAAATTCCTCTGAAGATCATTTTTGAACACCCTCAATGTGTAATTTACAAGTGCGTTTTCTCCAAGATGGATCATGATTTTTCACCTTGCGGTTAATTGATCGGATTTCGATGACATGCCGGGTTTTCCCGCGTCCTCCCAGGGAACTATGACCTGCGTTGTGAAATTGCTCGAGCTGGCTTTTAATTCCCCCCGTGACCTTTGGAAACGATTAAACAACTCGGGTCCCTGTCATATATCCTCCGTCCAGTCCAGACCTTATTCATAAAAACATGACACCCCTTTACATGTTCTCTCCTGATTGGTCGCCATAGCTGGAAGCCTTGATGGAAGCGCGGATGGTTGTTCGTCTCTGTGTGCCGTGCGATTGGCTGGCAACCGGTTCAGGGTGCCCCCACCTGCTGCCTGAAGATGGCTGGGATGGGCTCCAGCACCCCCCTTGTGAGGATAAAGCGGATCAGACAATGGATGGATGTTGTCTCCAGGAAGTTGCAATGTGAATTTCTCTTCTCTAGCTTGTTTGGAAACAGATTATGTGACCACGGAGCGCTGGCACTTCTGAGTGGCGTTGCCGAGCTGCAGGAGCAAACCTCGCGAACCGCCACCATTCAACAGCAGCGGGCGGCGGCCAACCTCAACACTGACTGGAGCTCTTTCAAGGCCTTTTCACTTTTGGAACTGGACATCGGGGGTAACGACCTGAATGGGGAGGGGGTGAAGGTGCTAGCATTCTACATGAGGCATCACTCGCACTTACGGTATTTAGGTCTGGCTCAGACGGGTGGCGTGGAGCTAGCAGCGTGGAAGGAACTTTTCAACAGCCTCAAAGGAAACAGATCGTTGACTTGCATCATTCTAGATGAGAACAACCTGGGCGACCCCGGGGTCAGGCTGCTGGCCGACGTGTTGAAAGCCAACGTCCGTCTGCGGATGGTCGACCTGGACGGGAACCGCGTCAGCGACGTGGGAGGAAACGACCTCATGTGTTGGATAACCGCGTCAGCGACGTGGGAGGAAACGACCTCATGGCGGCTTTGCTTTGCAGGGGCCAGTATCCGATGAGGCGTCTGAGTCTTGCCGAGAACAACATCAGCTCTGGACTCATGTGTAGGACACAGGAAGAGGTGAAGTGCCAATGAAATGATGGACGTCCACAGATATTTTTTTTTTGTGTAAACCATTCCATCCCTAATATATTTATTTGTGTCTAGATAAGCGCAGTGCTTAAGGGAAGTTCATATGTCATTTCATGAAACATGAAAAGTCAAAGTGGTCATGCCACGTATTGGTGGTCATCCGATTTTGGACTTCCTGACTTCTCTTTCCATCCGAATTTTGGTGAAATTTGTCGCAATGAACGCTGAAGAGATTTTGCAAGGCCTGTCATCACCCAAATTCTTCGGGGTCTAACTGTCCAGTTAAGAGCGGCGCCGTCACTTCTGAAACGGAACCCGTCTCGCCTTTGGAGGTCAGCGTGACTCATTCGACCTTCACAAGGGGCACACAAAGATTGCCTCCTCCTCCTCCTAACCGGATGGACCCTTTGAAGCAAATGTTGCCTCAAAGACGGAGTTCGTGAATGCTGCGAAGAGATCACCTTGTTTACATTCTCACGGATTTCCCATCTTTTCTTCTCATCAGTAGAACCTCGTGACTCCACACTTTGAAACCTGCCATGAACGCTACAATTTTTTTTTCAACTTCTTTTAACAGCCCCCACCACCATCCCCACCAGCAGAAAAATAGACCACAACAGGAGTGACTCATTCCACCCACTGAAAACACAAAACTCACAGATGCCAAACCAACAGCTCTTCCCCTCCCTCTTCTCACAGTAGCCGTCATCAGATTCTTGTCCAGCTCAGGCGAACACATTCACGTTGACCTTTTGGTCTTTTCGTGACAGTGCTTCTTTTTAAAATCCAAAAAAAAAAAAGGGGGGGGGGCGAATGTCCGCATTTTACGTGCTGTCAATTTATTGTTCTTTCAACTGTGGGAGAAGATGAGCCGCGATCAAAGCTTGTCAAGGTGGTAATAATCTCCCCGCCTCGACAGTGAGTCTGCTGAAATCAATCCTCCTTAGATTTGATCGGATGCTCTTTTTGAGGGTTCCTCGCTGTGGAACGCTGATTAAAAAAAAAACGTTCTCCTGAGGATGACGGGTAAATGAAGCGGTCTCACCCGAAGATAAGCTCCGTCGAAATGTTGTCTTCATCTAGCACATTCCGACGAACATTTAAAACCGCACGCAGATGCTCGTGCGTTTCGTAAAGTGGCTTTTTTTTTTTCCCCCGCCATGGGCTCAATGCGGCAAAGTGTTTACTGCCTCGTTGACTGTTGAACTACGCGGATTTCAACAGGTCCATTTGAGCTCGACAAAGCAATGGCTGAGCCGTAATTCACATTCTCCTCTGATAAGGCCGTCTCTGTTACATATAAGCACATCGGGATCAGTGACCCCCATTGTCCGCCCACTAGTGTAATCTTTAGCTGGCTGGAGACAAATTCCACCCCCCTGCCTCTTTCCCGGAAAAATTAAAAAAAAAAAAAAAAAAAAAGGCCTTCAGGACGGAGCTCCATTTGAGGGGAATTTGCTGGAGAGTTTCACCTTTCAGACCTTGTAGGCTGCCGTGTTGCTCCTTATTCGTTCTTTAACCATTAAAAGAGCATCAATCTGCGGTTAATGGGATCTTAAGGAAAGAAATTAACATTTGTTTTATTTTCCACGGGAGCATGCCAGTGCAAAATGCGCAGCGAGCACTTTAATCATTGAAGACTGAGTGCTTGACTGCAACCGCGCCACGTACAAGAAAATGAGACTGAAAGCGTCGGCTTTAAATTTCACGAAGGTTTTAGGTCGGGACGTTTTCAACCTGGGACACGTGTCATTTATTCTGATGGGAAAATTTGCTTTCAATTCTGACCTCGGCGCTTGATATGTTTCGGACAGTGCGAATCGAAAACAAACAGTGCGAAGGCAGAATTTTGGATGCAAGTGGGTGAAGCGGAGCGGATGTGTTTTTGTGACAGGATAGCTGCAACGTGACGCCAATGCGGGCGGATCGGCCTGGGAGATGCACCCGACAGAATGACAACTTGGTGGCAGGAAGTCGGTCTTTAACCTTGCGCCGGCTCAGAACACGTCGAAATACTGCTGCAGCTGGTCTAACACGATTTTGGTCAATTTGATCGGGGCGCAGGCAGATTCTAAGCTTTGCAGACATGTGGGTGGATATCAGACCTATTTATTCATAAGAGAGTATTGGAAAGAGTGGGAGGGACAGATGGTCTCCAAGGAGGAGTATTTCAAACTCTCCTATTGCACTGTGAAATTGCTCCAGCATAAAAAAAAAAAATTAAAAAGCCTACGGCTCCATCATTCTGCATGACCACGCGGCTGAACAGGACAAAAGAAGAAAAGAAAAAAGGCTGTGAGGAGCAGCATATGGTTCTTTTGACCACTAAATCATCCCACGCCAAACACAACTTCAGGAGCTCCCACAGGCTTGTGCGGAGCGCTACTTAAATTAGCACCAAAGAGACCTGAAAGTGAGGAATTGAACAGCCTGGTCAGCTTGGAACGTAGATGCTCGGATATTTGTGTACAGTGGAACCGTTCCCACTCACATTTATAAACCGAGGTGGTTTGTTTGAGGAAGGCCAGCATACCTTCTGTTGGTTCCATTTCCAAGCGCATTTGTTTTGCTTCCTCCTTATTAAAGACGTCCGGTCTGCTGTGCACCAAAAGCAACTTAAGCAAAATGCATTCAGGTGAAGATACGAGTGTGTTTTGCACCGTATAATCAGAATTACCTTTGAAGGGAGGAAAAAAAATGCATAGCGGGTTAAATTTGAAGCCTTTGTTGTGAGATTTGCATCAGTAAACAGCAACAAACGCCAGGATAAAAAAAAAAGCTTAGCGGGTTAAATTGGAAGCCTTTGTTGTGAGATTTGGATCAGTAAACAGCAACAAACGCCAGGATGGGAAAAATCTTGGCGCCGCATGAAATTTGGCTGTCCACATGTGCGAGATGTAGCACTGCCCTGGGATCCCCACATAACAGATCCGCTTTTCTATGCCTGAGCGCAAGTGCAATTTATAGACGAGATCAGACGCCGCCATCATGACGCGCACACAAACGCTACGACCCAGAAAACGACACACTTGAACCCGACGATGAGTCAACAACGCCAGATTGTGCTGACAATGCAATGTGAATATTTTCACGATGATGGAAAGAATCATCAAAATCATTAATTTATTCTTCATACGCCTCATTGGGGACACGGCCTTACTCAATGAAATGTTTGCCTTTTTTTCAAAGGCGGCAACTTGAGACAAATTTATGCAAAAACATGCAAATATGCAAGCCCTTGGTGGGTAAAAATGTGGAATTATTAACAACTATCTGCAATCCAATACGTTTCGTAAGGATTCGTTTTATAAAGTAAATACCATTCCCAACTGTTACCATTATTAACACGGACATGTTGGGCGAAAGCCACACGGTCACATACCTTAATTGTGACGCATCATTGTGACGACTGCGAAGGAAGACTTGGGAGTCGGCTCCGCGAACAACGGCCCCCGCTGCTGGTTGACATTTGGCACAGCGGCGAGTTTTTCAATATGGATTATTCATCACAGCTTTGATGCTCTGCGCAAATGTCAGCGAAACAATGCTCCTGACTTGGCAGCGACTTCCGCCTCTCCTCAGCTCGACGGGGGTGTGAACGTCTGACAATAATGACCTCTGCTCTCCAATTTATTACAACGAAACATCATTGCCGCCAGTTTCATAGTGGATAGAAATTACAAGTGTAACTCACAAAGGCCCAATGGAGGAGCCTTTGAATCAGACCGAGCGTACGGTTGTCTTTCTTGAATTGCTGGAAATGACACCATTACCCCAAAAAACGCGCTCCATTTCTTCATTCATTTGACTCATACTTCTTCTTCTGGCGTTTTAACTCACGTACTCCAGGTGCGCTACCTCGACGCATGCACCACACTGCCCCCAAGAGGTCGCCAAGATACAGCATAGCAGGAACGGCACAGTAAATAAGGCACACGTAACTGGACAGTACAAAGCCAGTGAAGGGTCATGCGCTAATAATAATGATAATAATAATAAAAATAATAATAATAAAAGGGAAATATTTACATCGTTAATAACACAGCACATTTTTTACAGCAATTGATTTGCTATTTTACTGTGGACATGTTAAGGTTGATAAAGTCCAACACTCCTAAAAAGCACCAAAACATACAATTGGGGGCTTTCCATGATAAAGTGACTTTGAGGGGATAGCCTACAAACGGCAGGCGTTGTTGGTATTGTGTTTAACATAGCTGCCTTCCAAGCAATTGGCCTGGGTTCGATTCCCAGCCAACGTGTAATTTACGAGGCTGTGAGATGCGAGTCTACATCTTGGCAACAATGGAAGTTACTTGGAGAAAGTAACTGTTAATCACAAGTCCCCTTGGTATTTCTTCTTGCATATGTGTGGTTTGCAAATAAAAAATTACACGGTGTGAATTCTTCCGTTGAGGAATCATAAACAGTTTCTGATTTAAAAGCTATTTAAAGAGGAAAAGTGTTCCTCAATATGTGGTATGTCAGTTCCAAGCTTTTGCACTCGATTTCTAATATTTTGCACTGGATACTGTCAAAGTATAACAGAGTCCAGATCAAAATTACCTATATGAGTGCAACCACAGTCATAAAAAAAAAGGAAAGTTAAATGAATGAATCTGAGCATTTTCCAGTAACTTTCTTAAAGCAGCCCTTGTATTGGATGTTCAAGTGTACTCAATCGTTTTGGCTGCTCTGGTTATGTCCCGGTTGCATTCATTCACATTCAAAACATTTCTGTACGTGTGACAAAAAGATGAATGCAAACATCATATCAGAGCATTTTTGGGCTTCACAGGACCGGTGGGTGGCGCAACACCAGGGATGCTATGGGCCCATCAGAAATCGGTCTGGCCCCATTTTAGCCTCTGCAACTTTTTATTTGACATGATAAAATATATTTATAGATTCTTGTCTCAGCCCCGCTTTTTAATCTGTCTCGCCACCCTTTAGCCTCAAAAGAAAAAAAAAATCTGGAGCCATCCCTGTACAGGAGTGAACAACAGTGCGTCATTAGCAACGGATAATCAATCATTGAAAGCAAGTAAAATGTCTCATCTGGGGGCAGCAGCCCTTTTAAGCAAAGCCCCTTATTAAATTGAGTTAAAGTGGAATCCGCTGGTGGATGTTAAATTTCCTGTTGTAACGTATGGAATTAGTAAGCAG